GCCTTGAATGCTAATGCGCCGCCGGGATTTCCGCGAAAAAAATCGAGAAAATAATGAAAAATCAGGTGGTTATTTATTTTATCGCCCATTGTTCCCGTGCAGGAGAGGGAGTCCGGCCCCTTGCAAAAAAATTTGGGGTGACGTATATCCCTGTCTCCATGGGTTCACTCCCAGCTGGAGATGGATTTTGCAATTTTCCCGGATTTTTGGCAGCACCCTGTGGGGTGGGGTGGGGGGATGCTCCGGACACCCCGCCAGCAGCTTTGGCTCCTGAACCTGTCCAAGGAGGAGGAATTTTGGTGGAATTTGGGTTCACCCCGCCCAGCTCGCAAGTCCTGGCACTGCTTGGACCCTGCACCCCAATAAATGCCTTTGGGGGGCTGGTGCGTGGTTGGGTGCGCAAATGGAGGCAAGATGGGGGGATGCACGTGGCCATCGTCTTGCACACGGTCTTTGCCTTGCACACGTCCTTTGTCGTGCACGTGGCCATCGTCTTGCATGTGTCCTTCATCTAGCATGTGCCCATCATCTTGCACGTGGCCATCATCTTGCGCACAGCCTTTGTCTTGCACGTGTCCTTCATCTTGCACGTGGCCATCATCTTGCACGTGTCCTTTGTCTTGCACATGCTCTTGGTCTTGCACGTGGCCATCGTCTTCCACACGACCATCATCTTGCACGGTCTTTGCCTTGCACGCGGCCATCATCTTGCACGTGCCCTTCGTCTTGCACGTGGTGATTGTCTTGCGTATGTCCTCCATCTTGCACACGTCCGTCTTGCACGTGGCCATTCTCTTGCATGTGGCCATCATCTTGCCCGTGGTTTTTTACGTTGCACATGGCCGTCATCTTGCACGTGTCCATCTTGCACGTGCCCTTTGTCTTGCACGTGCCCTTCGTCTTGCATGTAGCCATCGTCTTGCACGTGTCCTTCATCTTGCACATGTCCATATTGCATGTGTCCGTCTTGCACGTGGCCATCGTTTTGCACGTGGCCATGGTCCTGCACATGTCCTTCATCTTGCACGTGGCCGTCGTCTTGCACGTGTCCTTCATCTTGCACGTGGCCATCATCTTGCACGTGGCCGTTGTCTTGCACGTGCCCTTCATCTTGCACATGGCCATCGTTTTGCACGTCCTTCATCTTGTATGTGGCCATCATCTTGCACATGTCCTTTGTCTTGCACAATCTCTTTGTCTTGCACGTGGCCATCATCTTGCACGTCCTTCATCTTGCACGTGCCCTTTGTCTTGCATGTGGCCATCATCTTGCACATGGTCTTTGCCTTTCACATGGCCATCGTCTTGCCCACTCCCACACGCCCCCCCACAAGCCCCAGGAGCTCTTCCCTCTCCTCCCCACAGCCCCACGATTTTCACACCTGCACACGAGGCTGCAAACCCCCCGGGCAGGGGCTGGCGGGGGGAAACCAGGGACCGCAGCAGGGCTGGGAGCAACGCACCTCCCTGCAAGCCCCTTCATGGGCTCGTTAGCGTGGGGACAACCTGCCCGGGACCGTTGGTCACCGTTGCACGAGCACAAGTCCCCATTGACCGTTCCACCATCCGAGGTGCAACTAAGTTAGCACTGAGTCGTGATTTAATTCCCGGGCTGGAGCCAGAGCTCGCTTTCTGGAGTCATTTCCCAGCTGCGCTGGAGTGCCCAGCTCCGCTGGGTGCTGGGATTTCCTGCCCCCAAAGTCGGGGGTCCCCCTCCCCCAGCAGGTTTTTTCCTGTTTTTTTGGTTTTTTGTTTTGTTTTTTTGGTTTTTTTTTTTTTAGCATTTAGCTTTTATCCCTTTTTTTTTTTAATTTTAGCATTTAGCTTTTATCCCCTTTTTTTTTTTATTTTAGCATTTAGCTTTTATCCCTCTTTTTTTTTATTTTAGCATTTATCCCCTTTTTTAAAAAATTTTTTCATGGGGTTTTTTCAAAGCACAAAATGGTGCAAATCCTCCCTCCTCGTGCAAAAAAAACGCACGCTGCACGGCGCCGGGACATGC